CTCTTCCTCACCTCTTGTCTCCCCTCCTCCCCTCTCTCCCCTCTCTCTCCTGCTGGTCGTCACTGCTCGGGTGGGTGCAGGCTGCAGGTCAGGTGGGGGCAAATGTTAAACTGACCCGTGTCCAGTTCGACCAATTAGCTTCCCTCCTGTTAAGCACAGGGGCTGTTTTGTCTCGGCAGCCTGCACCTCTTTGTGTCTGACAGCACACACACACACACACACACACACACACACACACACACACACACACACACACACACACACACCAGGGCCTCTCCGCCTCGCTCCTCCAGCTGCAGGGGGCGCCATCTCTTCACCACCACCACTGCCATCACCTCCCCTCCCCCCAAATCCTTCTCTCCCTACCCCTTCTTCTCCCCTCTTTCTCTCTCCTCCTCCTCCTCCTCCTCCTGTTCCCTTCCCCTACACCCCCTCCTCCATCTGCCCCTACCACTTCCTCCCCTCTTTCTACCTTGCCACTCTCTCTTCTCCTCCACCCTCTCCCTTCCTCTCCTCTCCCTCCTCCTCACTTCTCCTCCTTCATGCTCCTGTCCCTCTCTGACTCCCTTTTTCCTCTCCTCCCCTCCCCCCAGCGCCTCTCCCCACCCCTTCCCTTCGTCTCCCTCCCTCTCTCTCTCTCTCTCTCTCTCGCTCTCTCTCTCTCCCCTCCCCTCTCCTCCCCTTCCCCCCCTTTGAAAGGCTGTTAAGCGCTCCTTCTGCACACAGCACTGCAGATGAGGCCTCCGCCTCCCCCACAGTCTGCCAGGCCTCTCTCTCTCTCTCGCTCTCCTTCAGCCTCCCCCACCACTCCTTCCCTCCCTCCCTCCATCCTTCCCTTCCTCCCTCTCCCTCGCTCCTTACAACAGCATAGCAACACTGACTAGCCAGCCAAGGAGAGTCTTGCCTCTCTCTCTCTCTGTCTCTCTCTCTCTCTCTCTCTCTCTCTCTCTCTCTCTCTCTCCCTATTGCACTGGGGTAATTTCCCTCCATTTTAGATTCCACATCCCTGGGCGGCGAAGGATGGGATTTTAATGAAATACTTGGAGGTAAAAATATACATAGTGAATGTACGCATCAACCTCACTCAATTTAACTAGGTTGATAGAACAGTGTGACTCACTCGATATAACTCCGTCAGAACTGATTGATCCCGACTGTGGGAGAGTACCTTTCATCCAATGGTGCACCTCAGCAAAGGGTTAATAATGTAGTGTTCTGCTAACATGCAGGCAGGGTCTATTTGGTATAGGCATTAAAACCAGAACACAAAGGGACAAATTACAGCTCTCTGAAAAACACATCATATATTCTCTTTCATCTTTTCTTAAAACACCTGGAAACAGGGACATTCAAACAACGGTGTATATATATATATATACACACACACACACACACACAAACACACACATATATATATATATATATATTGCGGATATATTGTGGATGAGGTTTTCACAGGATGGCCACTTAAAAGTCACAATTCATAACCCCAACATCTGGAGTAAAATCCTCTTCAGTTGTTTCACACATTTTATAAAGTCATCACAATGACGTCATTGACTCCCTCACCCGTAATTTCTATGGTCATAAACACGCTGATGAGTCTTTATCCAGCAGTAACTATCCATTCTTCATTACACCAGAGATATCATACCAGTGTGATCTTGTGGGCAACTTAATTTTGGTTACCAAGCAATGCTGGATGTTCCTGGAACTATTTTTGGCTACTTAAAGACACAACTCCTGTGTGACAAAGCTGAACTTCCTATGTGAGGAATCGTTGTTGGGCTAGAAGGAGAATATATATACATATATTATATATATATATAATTACACATACATATATTTTGTCCTCTTGGTTTGGGATCCTCTGACTAACCTGTCTCTCTTGGTCTGCAGGTAGATAATTGGTACATCTGGAACACCTGTGTGTTCCAGGGTATATAAGTCCTGGGTGCCTATAACCTCTCTGCTCCTCTTCACAGGTACACCTCGTTTCAGGTTTGGTTATGTTGTCTTAGTTTAATCCTTATGTTTAGTTCTGTACCTTACAACACCTGCATTCACATGCCTCACTCGTGCACACCACACACTCCTGATTTCACTGCTTTCATACGCAGAAGATTTAATTTGGTTTGATATAAGTATTCTTTATTAATCTTATACATGGTGTGTCTCCCTTTTGTGGTGGCTAATTGAGCCAGGGTTATGTCAATACACGCACGCGCACACACACACACACACACACACACACACACACACACACACACACACACTCATTTCTTCATCAAAGTAATGTAACTTAATACATTTGATCACTTTTTGATTACTTTTCAGTACGATTTAGTCTGTCGTTGCCCTGTAGAAATGTCACAACCTGATGACCTCTCCAAGTTCATATTTAATGAAAACACATTGCTTAATGAAGTTAGTGAGTGTTATTAGATCTCACACCTATCACCTATCTGATCTGCCAACAGAATGGTAAATGATGTGCACTTACATAACACTTTACTGGTGTTATCGACCACTCAAAGCACTTCACACTTTCCATTCACACAGGCGTTCATGCAGCTCTTTTTCCTACACATAAACCACTTTTCTACCATACACCCACATTCAAACACCGATGATACTTAGGGGGCAATTTTGGGGTCCAGTTTTTTGCCCAAGGACATTTAAAAATGTGGACTGAAGGAGCCGGAAATCGAGCCATGCACGTTCCGGTGAGTGGACGACCCGTTCCACCTCCCGAGCCAACAGAAGACATTCCTGCTCGGCCAAAGCAACAGAATGAATGTTTCATTCTACATATCGGGTTATTAATGAAAGTTACATTTATTTTGCAGTTGAATTATATAATCCAATTACATGTCATTAGTTAGTCCCTGTGTATATCTGTTAGAAATATAAAGGACTGGAATATAAAATCCCATCCTGGGGTGATATTCCCCACTGTATTCTCAAATTACAAAGCAATGTAAAACCTCATTACGATGTGCTGTCAAGATACTTCAGACCTGAGTGGTCGATGAAATATTCAGTTGGCTAATTTTAAATTCCTCCTAAAGAAGACTTTTTTTTTGGGGGGGGGGTGTTTATGAGAATATCATCACACTTTGATGTCACTTAAAAATGATTTTAATATACAGAAACCAAAATGACAGGTATCTTTTTGGCTCTGTTTATAACCATGTGAGATCCCTTTTTCTTGGCTGCTGGCCTGGATTTGGCATCTGCATTGTTTAGCTAATTGCAAAGAATGATTTCTGTACAAAACCTATAACAACATCGCTTTTCAAATCATACTTAAACCGGTTCATTCAGCCTGGTAGCTCAATGCATCCATACACATGGTCAATCAAATTTAAAAATGTCACTCTCTTGTGTTTTTGTGCCAAAATATTTCCCTCGCTTCATGAAGAAGCTGAAGATGAGTTGGTGACAACATTGTGTTCCAGTGGGCAATTGTGATCAGTCTTGTCCCACCTACAGAATCAAACAGAACTGTCAGTGCGTCCCTAACGGCCTGTTAGTTTACACTTCTGAATGACTCCTTCCTCCCTACATCGCTGCCAATTCAATGTAAAATGATGCTGCACCAGTTTTCTAGTTGAGTAACATGTTTCAACAGTGAGGAACATTTTTGCAATAGAGATATTTGTTAATATTTGGTTGGTGTTTTGGAGATTTATCTGGTGACCTTTCATATTTATCTTGGGAGTGCTCTTACTACTGTATTTCAAACAGCAACCAGTGCACCATGGAGCGCAGTTTGCACCATTAGCTATTTAGCATGAAGTGCACGTTGCAGTTTTAAGAAACAAGTTTAAGGAGAAGTTTCAAAGCTTTTCTAACCAAGAACCATTTTTGTGCACAATCCTTCTGAACAAAGAAACCATCACCCGTTGCCATTAGTTGTGTGAGAAGCACAATTACAGCACTTTATTGTTCATAAATGCTTAAGTGAAAAATGAAAACATAAAACAAATACACACAATTCAAAGAACACATACCGAACACAACTCTCTTTTCTGAAAAAGAAAAAAATAAAATAAATTGATTTCACTTTTGTGGATGTCAGTAAGGTGGTTATTGTCCAGTCTTGTGGGGCAAAGAAACATAAAGTTAAAACTGTGAAAACAGAACGTACAGTACAGTCAAGGCTAATGAGCACAAGGCTGCAGAAAGTGGATGAAATGCTCCTTTATACTGCGAGAGAATGAGAATATCTCAGCGCCAATATTCTGTCAGAACAGCATTCATAGAAAAAGATCAAATAAAAAAAAAAATAAAAATCATAATCAAATTAAAAAGCAAAAACCAATCAATTCAGTTCTTTCATTCTTATATATTGATATATTATTTTGCAAAAAAAAAAAAAAAAAAAAAAAAAAAGGTTTTTTTTTAAAAAAAAAAAAAAAAAAAAAAAAAAGAGCTAGGTTTTTGTTAAAAAATAAACTTAAACATACAAGAAAATACCAGCCACCAAAGCAACACCTATCGTTAAGCATATCAATATAGAACATATGAGGCTACCTTACACACAGGTAATAGCAAATATTTAAGGGTACATGTACGGCAACGTCTGTCCAAACATGTCTAAAAGACTGTACAAATTTACACTACCTATCTCGGTATAACTACATGAAAAATGATGGATTATCTGGTCAGCCTGAAAGCTTTACCTCACAACAACTCAATATTTTAAAGCCACACTTACAAGTTCAGTGGCTAAATCAACGTTAATAACTCCTCAATGTAATAAAGTATATAGAAGGCAAAAAACGTTTTCTATTTGTTTGGTGTAACTTCACTTTTGTCTTTGCACCTCCCCCTCCCGCTCGGAGAGGGTGGAGGAAGAAACATTAAAACTTTGTTCACAAATCTTTACATCAGTCCTAGCTGCTCGTCGAGTCCTGCCTTTAAAAGTCATTGAATGGCTTGTTTTGAGATTTCACTCAAGGAGACTTCTCTCCTCCTCCTCCTCACTCCCTCCCTCCCTCCCTTCCTCACAGATGCCCAATGTAACAAGGCAGTGTCCTTCGGTTTAGGCGAGGCAGATTTGTTGGCGTGGATCAAACCTAACGTGTCTCTCTGACTGTGTGAGTCTTTGTGATTTCTCCAGTCAGACCTGCTGTTTGCCCAGCTGGGCCCCGTCTCTCCTGCTTCTTGCAGATGATGGTACAAACTTGGGAATAATGATGGGCAGAGTGTCTCTTCCCTTAGCAGCCTGTCTCTCCGAGCTCTCCGTGGGCCTGAAGCCGTTCTCTACATGCGGCCCTTCGTACTCGTCCTCATCCTCCTCCTCGTCGTCATCATCGTCCTCGTCGTCATCATCATCGTCCTCATCATCGTCCGACATGTCATCTAGATCCGAAACAATCTTGCCCCCTGTCCTCTGATCTATTTTCTCCTTAGCTCCAGTAAGCTGTTCGTTACCATGGCGATGTACCTCTCCCTCTTGTTCTTTGTTATCTTTCTGCTGCTCTTCCTCATCACTGTCAGAGTCAATGGCAATGGGCTCAGAAAGGTCTAGAGGCATTTTCTGTGGTAAGGTGCTGTTGATTGTCTTGGTTTGGTCTCTGCTGGCACTGTTGGGTTTGGGGGCAGATGGTGCTGCTTTAGAGCCTTGCACAGTCCCTACTGGCTTTCCCTTTGGTGGTGGGGCCACACCACCATTAGCAGCTACAAGTTCCCTGTGTCTCTGCAGAGCCTGCTCTGACAGCCCCATGCGCATCCTAGACGTCCGCCTCTTGCTTTGTCTCCCCTCGTACACGCCGTCCTGGATGGACGCTAGCTCGTGACTCACTTTGCTGAGCTCGTGCATACTGAACCCGAGCAACACGCTAGTGTTTTGGGTTTCGCATTCCTGTACGCATTTTCTCCGCCTGTTGACGAAGTGGCTGGAGATGTCCGACTTCCACAGCCACAGACTGGCTGCCAGCTTCTCCACCTCCCGTTGTGTGGGGTACGGCGCTCGATTGAAATACTGTGTTAGAAATGCCTTCCTGGACTCATACGACTCATTCTCGTGTCCTTTGGGGTCGAGAGCCAGAACCACAGGTTCATCAGGGTTTTCTACAAATGCAGATGGACCGTTGCTGTCCCGTGGGTGGGCCCTTTCCCCGGGGGGGCCCGGCCTCCTTCGTTTTGGTGCACTTGTGTCTGAGCTATCAAAGCTGGCCCGCTTGAGAGCGCTGCTCTGGGCCTGCCCGACCCGAGAAGAATGAGCCACCCGGCTGTCCTGCCCATTCTGGGATTTCCCTACGCCTCGACAGTGCACCAAGTGTAACGTGATGGTGGAGGCAGTCATGTTGCTAGTATAAACCCCCAAGCAGTGAATACACTTGTAGGTCAGTTTCTTTTCTACAGGATGGACTGTCTGAATCACCTGGTGCCTCTCCCTCAGGTGATGGGCCAGTGAGTCTGAGATTGGGCCCTTAAGGATAGAGAAGCAAAGAGGACATAGTGTCTTGCCCACATCCCTTTTGTATGGGACAGATGCCTGTGGGGCGCTCTTGGTTGGTGCACTGTCAGCAGCCACTGAAGGTGTTTTGGGTGGGTGCTGAGGCATTAACCTCTTGCCTGATATTAAGGAGGCAGACAAGGATGATGACACAGAGGTGTTGTTGTTTTGAGCATGAAACGCCACCGACTCCTCTGGGGCGTCTCTCATGTTGTAGGTAGTGACGATCAACTGAACATTCTTGGGATTGCCCTGCTGCAGAGTGAGGTCAAAGGTCAAGGGAGAGTCTGTGCGTGGGCCTACACTCTCATCTGGGTGCGACAGCCGCATGTGGGCCACCATCTTCTCAACATCATTGAAGGTCGCACGGCAGTGCGGGCAAGACAGGCCGTGGATCAACATGTGGTTCAACAGTGTGTCACTGGGGAGATAGCGGTTGCAGTAGAGACACTTGCTGGTGAAGTTGTGGATCTTCATGATGTAGTTGGCAACAGCAGGCACCTTCTCTGCTTTGTGCTCTTTTTCAAAGTGAGAACTGTACACGTTCTCTGGGAAGAGCTCATTGCAGATGGTGCAGATTTTCCACTTCTGGGTGTAGGACGTGCCGAGGACCGAGGAACCGCTTTTCTTGGCCGTGACAGATGCTACAGTTGTAGCTGCTGCTTGAACACGTGAACCCAGAGGATTGGATTTGAGCGAGGAAGAAGAGTTGACCACAACTGGACTCCGCAGACCGCCACCAGAAATTAGCTGCTTTGCTGCGTGTGACTGCTGCGGCACAGAAACCTGGGCATTCCCTGGTAAAGTAACCCTCACCTGCTGGCCGCCAACAGAGAACGGATGGGTGCCCCCAGCCTTTAATCCTATTGCATCATGTTTCATCCCAGACAGAAGACTCTGAGAGTTAAAGCCCGCCTTTGATGTGATAACAACCCGACCCAACTGCTGTGAGCCAGGAGACCTGGTAGTGGCCATTACTGCACCTTTAGGACCCATCCCAATGATGGTCTTGTCTCCTTGGGATTTGGGGGGGATCATGAGAATGGGTTTGGGGCGGGGGACTATCACACTGGTGTGCCCAATCATAGCGGTCACCTGGTAGCCAATCCTCTCGTGGTCCTCGATGACGTGCTGAACAAGTGCCTCGTAGGTCCTTGGAACAAACAGACACTTCTTGCAGTGGATCTGGTTGCTGTTAACATTGTTTGTGCTGTTACTCTCTGTATTCCCTGTGCCGCCATTCTGAGCGTGTGTCTTCTCTCCCGGTTTCACAATGTAGGGCTGGGCGACTTGCTGGAAGTGTTCCCGGTAGATGTGCTTTCGCACTACATTGTACAAAGGGTCCCTATAGGTGCATTTCTTGCAGTAGTACACTGCTTGTTCCACACTGTCCCCGGTCCTCTTCAGCACGCCGTCCTTCATCAAGAGCCCACCAGCCCCTGCCACCATTCCACCTGGACCCTGCCGCACGGTGTTGTTAGGCATGTGGAAAAGTTTGATGTGTGTTTCCAGAGTCTTTTTGTTACCATTGTAAGTGCAGTAGGGGCAGTTGAGCAGAATGTTGTTCTCAAAGTCCTCGCTGTGGACGTTGCGGAAGTGGCTCTTGTATGCAGAGAAGTACTTGGATGAAAAGAGGCAGCCAGAGCAGCAGAAGGGCTTTGATCTGTAGTCCTGGAAACACAGAGGTGGGAAAAAGCTTAGACTTCTTTGTCTGAGAGAATTAAAACCATTTTATTCTACCATTACACACATTTTCTGTTTGTGTGATGTAAACAGAACAAATTATTCAAAACAACAGACTCAAATACCAGTGTTGCAAACAACAGGATATTTTTGTGGGAGTGTGTATCTGTGTGTGTGTGTGTGTGTCACACACCTGGACTTTGGTATGTGATGGTTCCCACATACACACATCTTCCCAGGTAGTGTGCTTTATGTACACATCTGGAGGAGTGAAGTCTTTATAGTCCTTAACAACAAGGAAACAAAGATTATTACTTTAAGGTGAAACAAATACACAATCAATCAAAACAATGTTTTTGAAACATTCACCATGAAAATGCCGCCTCCATGGATTCATGAGATATAACTTACCCGCCTAATTCATTTGCACTCATTTCATTTCAGCTCGGTTTGAATCTCTACTGTGTTTTGCTGTCATTTATAGTCACATTTCTCTCGTCTGCTTTCTGTTTCACTGTGTGTGTGTGTGTGTGTGTGTGTGCGTGTGCGTGTGTGTCTTAAGTCTGGTTTATACTTCTGCGTAGGATTCGACATAGAGCCTACGCCGCAGCCTACACAAGTGGCCTACGCTCCTGTGAGCATTCATGCTCGGGCTCTGCTGTGTCTGTGTTGCTCTGCAGTTACACTGCTAAAACGCTAGTTGGCTGTGCGGTTCCTACGCCACTGTGTGTACTTCAAACAGTGACAACTGACACCGAGTGGATCATGTTGGAGTTGGGAGCTGATAAATGTCGTACAACAGTTCTTTTTTCTGAAATCACCGCAACGCAGAAAAGAGAGAAGACGTCGGAAAAGTACAAACTTTGACCTGATTGAGGCAGAAGGAGGGGGACTCTTCTGTGCTTGCCAGGGCTGCACCGTACCTACGCTGTACCTATGGTGTCAATTCAATGCTGAAGTACAACCCCCCCCACACACACACACACACAAACAGGCTGACAACTCATTATGTAAAGTGCAATAGAAGCTTTCCAACAAGTTTTCTAAATCCTGTAAAACGAATGATGGACAGATGTCGAGCCCAAATGTCTGAAATTCAGGCCAAAATATCAGCAGTTTTTAAACGCACTCAACCTGGCGACAGTGGTGAGGATGCTAACGGCTAACAGCTACCACTAGCGTTGAGATCTCTAGCAGCCTTTCTTGTGCATTAAGTGAGATAAAACAGAATGAGGACACTGTGTCAATGAGAACAAATCACATAATACTGTATGTGTTGGAAGTCCAGTTCAAAGATTCCTTTCATCATACATTATCTACATTTATGCAGCTGAGTCAGGAACCCTGCTGCTTAACACTTATTTCCAGCAGGGAGACAAACGGAAGAATTATCTCAACTCCTGAACCGACCTTATTATTAAACCAAAACAAGCTTCCCGTATTTACACCAATGTCACATGTATCCAAACAAGAACCTTTCTCCAACCTCAAAAACAGATGAAACTAACGCTGGAACATGAATTTGAAGAAAAGTCCTATTTGGCAATCATAAGGAAACTCACACACTGTGTCCTTAAGGCAAAGATGTCAACACAAATGTGCAGCAGTATGTGTGGGTATTACACAAACAGCACAGTCTGGGCAGGCTCACCTCTAGGTGATCTCTACAGAACTCCAAGCCGATGTCTCCCAGAACCTTCTTGACATTTTTCCTCGCTTTCCGCAGACTGCCCAGGTTATTGACAGGGAGCTGGAACATGCTGCCCACCTGAATAGAAAAGACACACACAGCATATGATCAACAGGTGTAGGGGAGAATATGGACGTAAACTGAACCATGAGTCATGAAATGAACAGTTCTCTGAAACAATTCTGTCTTTTCATTGACTACACTTGCATGGTACAAACTGTGAAAGGGGAAGCCTTCATTAAAACCCCTTTCAGACATAAAATACACAACACTGATGTCTTCGGCTACCTATGGCAGGAAGTAACGACGGCTTTGTGACATTTAGACATCGTTGTCTCTTACGTAAATTCAGACAAAACTACAGATGTGAAAACTAGTCTAGCATTTGCAACAAGAGTCATATGACATATATATGATAAAGTTGTTCCCCAACAGACCAAAGTGTGGGAGTGTCGGAGATTCAGACTGAAAGCAGCCCTGCGTTAAAATAGTGCAAGGGGCTGTGGTGGTGGGGGCATGTTGTTTAAAGTGCAGCTGACACAATGAAAAACAATGCAGGAAGTCCAGTCTGAATAACAGATTAATGCATCTAAAGATTTATCAGGCACCAAAAGGACAAACAGAGAAACAATTTGTAAAGCTCATATACTCAAACAGGATTTTACAACTGGGACGTTTTCACAGCAGCAACTCTTTTATCTTGTCGTGATAATCACATGGCAAACAGTAGAATAACTCTGTTCATGTTAACAAAGTATTTCACGTCAAGTAATCCACTAAACGAGTGCTTGCGTGTAGGTGACTGGCACAACACAATTACATTGCGGCAAAAGCTGAGCCTGGTGCAACTTTTTTGCCTGATGACCCTGCATTGTTTTTCCTGAGCCTTTTGCGCTGGCACCCCCCCACTGTTCTGACAGACTGGCTCCATTCAAACCAATGAGAGGCCTGTGTTATTTCACACAAGGCTCAAATTGGTGTGAATGCAGCCTTATTTTGAAAGGGAGATTTAGAGAAATGTGCTGCCATATAAAATAGTATTTTTCACAGCAGAAATTCTGACTTGTCATAGTAGGAGAATCACAACATTTGATGATGATGATGATGATGATGATGATGATGGCTCTGTTCACTTCAAGTGTAGCAGGAGACCATGACAGTGTGACAGTTGCCAGAATTATATATTATTTGCACCTATGCCTTTCCTACTGTGACATGTCAAAAGTCTTCTGTGAAAACAGCCTGTTAGCAAAGATTCAATTCAGAAAGTTTAATAGGCTGATGAGGCTTCAGCAAGCAAACATGTTTCCATCAAACCTTTAAGACGAAGAAAAGGAACACTGAAGTTTCTGACGTCTAGTAGACACAATACACATTCCTTTCAATGGTCTCTCACTGGTGCACTGACTGACACTCAGTGGTAATGCACCAAGATATACAGCAATGCACCGGTGAAGGGCAGGGTAGAAGAAGACCGCTATCTTGTAAACATGTGCTGAATGTAAACAATGCGGGTTTCAAATTATTTTAAAATTGGTTTTGCAAATCTTTTATGAAAGAAACACACTCTACATTTGTTGGACCTTTGGACACACAGTGCATTTTAAGTGAGAAATGTATACATAACTTGACGAGAAATCTCCAGCTACAGAGTCACAAGCCAGTGCTCAGTGTTTTACTCTTACTCATGATAACTACAGTGTAGTTTTTACATTGTGCGCCCACTGTAACTCTAATAGTGATAAATGATAAATAACAATAATGAAGTTTTGATTTGATCTTGCAAAACGTGACTTGTCTGTTTGGAGTAGAAACAAATGTGGCGAGCAGAGAGAAAGACCCATGGTTCAATACAGAATACAGCTTAACCGACATACACCCATTCATTATGTGTTATTATCAATAACAATTACTTCATTATTAGTTAAAGCCACCTCTTGCCAGAAGAAGTAAGGGCTGTTAAATTCACTGTCCAGAGCGGCTGGTCAAATATTATTCAAACTATTCAAATCAGGGCTAGATATAGTGGGGTCAAAGGTCACTGATGCATGATGACATAGAGGCAGCTCAGTGACAACAAACAGCACTGTCCCAAACAATTCCTGTGAACACCTCAGCTTATTTCCCTTCTGGAAAACACAAAACAGAGAGGGGGAACTGTGTGTGTGTGTGTGTGTGTGTGTGTGTGTGTGTGTGTGTGTGTGTGTGTGTTGTGTGTGTTGTGTGTGTGGTTGCACCAACTGTTGGCCTAGTGATGAGCTGAGAGAACCAAAGTCGATCCTCCTCACTCACTGTCTTGCCTGCCTGTTGTCTGTCTTACGTAGAGAAACGTGCAAAGGCTGGAGTGAATGAAAAGAGACACACACCCCTGCCCACTTTCCCTCTCTGTCTCTCTCTCTTTTGCTTCCTCCCATTACTTGTAGATGGCGCTAGAGAGGAGCTCCATTATGTAAGCCTCCCTATACTCTGCCTGCCCCCTTTTTCTCCCTGCCTCGCAATACCATCACAGAATGGCGCCTCCTATTGAGTCAGCAGGCAGGCCTCTACAGATTATGTCTGCAGTGGAAGGGGAGGGGAGGGGAGGGAAGGAGGGAGGGAGAGCTGAGGAAGGATGTTGGGAGGGAGGGAGGAGAGGAGGAGGAGGGAGGATTTGGAGGGAGGACAGGGAGGGACAGAAGGAGTGAGAGAGATCAGGGAAGGGGGAGGGTGAGTGTGAGAGAGGATGAGGTGGGGGGGTGGAGGGCGGGTGAGGGAGCTAGGAGGAAGAGAAGGGGGAGAGAGAGAGGGGAGGGGGAGCGAGTGAGCAAGTGAGGGTAGAAGGAGTGCGAGGGGAGAGATGAGAGGAAAGGAGAGGACAGAGAGTGAGCGACGGAAGTGGATGGGAGGGGAGGAGGGGGGGGGCAGGGAGGTCGGACAGACAGGCTCAGAGGAGAGGAGAGGGGAAGGGAGGGAGGGAGGGTGAGGGAAGGAGGGGAAGAGGCTGAGGGAGGGAGAGAGAAAATGGAAGAGGGTGAGAGAAAGAGGGGGCGATACGTAAGGGAGGGGGGTGGGAGGAAGAAAAGGAGAGAGAAAAAAGCCAAGGAGAGGCTGAGCAGGAGGGAAGGGAGGGAGAGAAGGAAGAGGAGAGGGAGGAAAGGCGATAGGAGGCTGCTCTGCTCTGCTGAGGGCTGCTGGCAGAAAACAGGTTTCCCCCTTCTACTGTGGTGTGAGACAGAAACAACAAGAGGCCTACAAACCTTCAACCACAGATTTACTAACGCTCACTCAGTCCTCCACTGGGACATGGTAACCTATGTTCTGGCTGCTGTTTACACTCCTCGGTCAAGGTGTAGGTGTTTACCAAGGGGAGAGGGCAGCGTCTGGTGACATCTACATTCACAAAGACACCAGAAAAGTTTAGGATGCTCAAAATGCGCTGGGGTTAGTTGTGTCAATAGGCTAAACACCTGTCTGCAGTGCTGAGCAATAAAGGCAGAAGGCTGTCCGTGTCTGTGTGAGTGTATATGTGTGTGTGATTGATTGATGGTAGTGACCATGTTCATCATCTGACACTTGTCCTGACCGAGTGACAGCCCCCCCCCCCAACCCAACCCCTCCCCTCCCTCTCTCCCTCCCTCCCTCCACCGGCTCAAACACGAGGTACGAGTGCATCACAACCCCGGTGTCACCTGGCCGGATCCTGGTCATATTCTTATCACCTCCGAGGGGGGTTTGATTATTCAAAAGGAAAACATTGATAAGACAACTCACAGTTACATGGATTCCATACCACGATCTCACTGTGGTTGTGAATATGTATCGTGTGTTCCCCAAGACAAAACTCTCTGTACAGTGATGAAGCTACACTTTCAACACTCGCAGCATTTCTCGCATTGAAAACGTTAACTCGCAAAATGTGTGGCGGTGCGTTGTGGTAACGTTAGTTTCAGTCAATGTAGTCTCTGATCAACATCTGGCAGTATCCAAATCGATAGCTTTGGCAGGGAGCTGCTGCCACTGACAAAGAATGGGGACACACCGCGCTAAGTTAGCATGCTAAGCTAGCAACTCGCACCAACAACATGGACTATTCACAAACTAATGCTGCCATTTTTTTCCTCCTTATTTTTCCGCAAAGCACATTCGCCTACATTTTTATCTTGCCCGATGTAAACAAACCTACTGGAGAAGTCATTCAACTTGACATAACGCTGAACCACGTACCCCTGACTTATACAAACATAACGTTAGCTACATCTACAGCCAAGTTACCTTAGCTGTAGTTCACCGCCACCCATCGCATCTCCGCAGGTAGCCACAGCTAACAGCAAACTATCTCGCTTTGAGGGATATGTCCAACATTATCACAGACAAGTTTACCTGCTTTCACATCCAGTGCTCCCGTCCGAGTGAATTGTGTCACCTCAGGTTGACTGAGACGATGTACAGACACTTTCACTATTTTCCAGATATCTCCGTAATATCCTTTCAGGTGACAACTAGCTTCGCGGGGGGAGCCCGGCCGTTGGTGCACCTTCCAAACCCGACTGTCCCTCGCCGACAAGGGCTATCCTCTTCCCTCTGGTCGGCAAACGGGAACTGAGAGCCTCCGAGCCTCATTAGACAATTAAAACCTCCATTCCCCGGAGCGGTGAGGGCGGACACATGTCCTGTTGTCGGGAACAACAACCAGCGTACCCACTCTTTCAAATAAATTGCCTTAAGTCTGCCTGTGATCGCCTGGCAGCCGATAACGTTTGGACCATTCTCCTCTCTGACAGACAATACACATCCAGCCTAGAAACTGCCCTATCCAAAATGGCGCAAATAAAAGGGGCGGAAGTGACATCTACTTGATTAGCATAAATAATCTCATTGTGAGATCCTCGCGAGCCCGGCTCATTAAAACTCTTGATTGGTTCGTCAATCAATTTGGCCAATTAAGAAAACGCCTATTGAAAAAAAAAAATTGCCTCGTCCCTCAAAGCCTGAGGCCGGCCTTTGGTTTCTGTGACCGAGGGCTGTGGGGTAAACAACCCGACGTAGTAATTGCGGGATCTGGCCGACAGCGGGCGTCCTCCTGGAGTGGGTCTCTCCGATTTGGGCGCATGCGCGGTCTGGTTACATCTGGCGTCCACCCCCCCCCACCCCCACCCCCCCAGTGGAGGGTCAGCTGTACAAAGTGCCACAGTGTTCAGCTCAGAGGAGACATCAACGTTTGAGTTTGAGTCAACGGTAGGTGGCGCTGTACTATTCTGTGTTATTAAACATTGATATAGAATTATGTAGAAACCGACCGGAACTACTTTCCTGTTCAAGAGGCAGCCCCAAGCACAGCACTGTATATCAGCACCTCACTCTAGAATGGTTTAAGTGATGGTAAAAGTTCTCCATCAGCAGGGCTTAATTCTTGCCCTCATACCCCCCTTCCTGTCATCATCATCATCATCATCATCATCATCATCATCATCATCAGTGACCAACCCACAACCACCATTCCTATCACTTTCTGTGCAGTTTATTTCTTTTAATGCTAGAATAGGACCTGACTAACTCAAGATGTGCAGTGTGCTCATTCAATCAAACATCTCAGTTTATGAATATTATATACACTATATACATATATGTCCACACAACGCCCCGCTCTAACACCTGGCCTCAAGCTCATGTAACGCTGCTGCTTTCAAAGTGCCAATTCTCTAACAAACACACAAATAAAAAGACACACCCCAGAACAAAACACACACTCTGGAGCTTTCAGGGCCCCTGGACTTTTCCAGCCCTGGGGCTGTTGCCTTGCACCTGACACTTTGATTGGTGCAAGGGGGAAAGTGGGATGTTAACTGTCTTTACCCTCTGGCCTTTAAAACAAAAAATCATTTACATATGCTCATCCTGTTGTGACCCCTGGGTGATTTTTTCCATTAGTTTGTGTCAGAGAGGTACAAGCTGGTGTCTGTTGACTACTATGGCCTCAGCATAAAGTAACAGTATGTGCCAGCGAAGATCATGAGATGTGGTTGAAAGTCCCAAAAGAAGTTAGTAGGTGTCAAACTGTTTCCAAGGTCAAGAATGAACTTTTAGGCTCAACTACATATTTACCTTTGGTGTTTGGTGAGCCTCTGCTGAGCTTCGACTTTTGGCTTTCATTTTAACAGTTCACAGAGTGGTAGACATCATTATCATCATCCAGGACGGGCCTGAGGTAATCCAGGCACATTTTTTCTTGCAGTATTAAAGTCTTCAACTTTTCTTTGGGTTGTGTTATCTGACCTGCCTGCGTTTAGAAAAACCAGCAGCCCCTCACACGTTTCACATTTGACCTTGATCAATCAATGACTCACTGTACAACAAGAGCACAATCAGAAGACAACAGAGCCAACAATACAAACTGTTTAATTTCATACAAACAGTCACAGATTATCATAAACCCCTCTCACAACTGTGTAAATGCAGAGTACAGTCAGCTGTCTGGACTGGGAATGATGAAACACTATCTGCTCTGTTCAAAATTCATGAAAGAGGATGATGGGAATGTAAAGCACTACGTTCCTTCAGTATTCTGGACGGCTACTGACAGGGATTTATTTTATTTATTTACTGCTAACAGGGGAGAGAGATGTCTCCTTTGTCATTTGCCGTCATGTCGCTGTCTGACTGTGGGCAAGTGGAGCTTTTTTTCCCTCATTACAATCCAAATACAGTAGAGTATGTAAGACAGCGACTTTAAAAGCCATCCAACCGTGGGATATCCACAGTGACTACATCACTGATCATGTTGTGGCAAAGAGTGTGAGCAGTCCTTTCACGAACGACACAATCTCATTTCCTCCCAGTTTGGACTCTCCGTAAACGCGATCCACAAAGGAAATGGGCACCTGTTGTTTGGAAGAAGAGGACAGAATTGTTTTAGTTAGGTGGGAAGTTTAGATACAGAAAAAGATGTGAAAAAGCCCCTTTCTCCCTTATTTTTTACACACAGAATAAAGGTTTCACTAATCTGACAAGAGGCTTTTAAACAGTCTGGAATTAAGATATTAATCTAGTCTACATTTATCAAGTCTACATAAAGTGGTTTTTAAGATAGACCCAGTCTAAAGTGGTGTGGATGCAGAGAAAGCAGTAAAATCGTTGTTTTTTTAGCAAGCAAGAGTTGAATCGAGGGCGACCCGACTTGGATATAGATCTTTGAAGATGTGTCAGCTCTTATCCAAGAAGCTTCTTCAGTTCTGTTTTCTTTGATAACCGTGACCTGGATGACTGAGAATCTTCACAAACATTGTCCTTTTTTGTTGCACAAATCACAAAGTGGGTTTAAGTTGTGTTAAGGCCTTTACTCTGATTTCTAATTCTTTTTAACTTCTATAAATGGTGTAAATACAGGTGAATCTAGTGAAAGAGTTTCCTCCAATTCAGAGGCCAACTTCAGTGTCATTGCAAAAGGATTTATGTGAAAATCATAGGTGCACTTAGTAAATAATCACCTCGCAAAGAAAACATAAATACGTGAATGAGCCAATGAATGAATCAGGACATCACCTCTCCAACTGTGTAGTTGAGCTGTCTGGCACGGACGATCATCTCCATCTGAAAGACGTAGCCTTTGGACACGCACCGCTCAACCAGACTCTCCAACACCTTCTTCTTGTACAGCCTGACAGGAGAGAGACAAAGCAGCAGGAGTGTGAGAAAACATGGTTCGATGCTCGTACAATGCAACAGTCCGTGGCACTTATTTCGCAGCACTTGCACCACTTGCCTGAAGCTGCCTGTGAGGTCTGAAGCACCGGGTCTCAACAGCACTTGAGTCAGAAAGTTTGCTCCCCGACTGTTAACGAGAGAGGGAGACACGAGGAAAGAAAATGAAACCTCTGTCTCTCGCCTGTTGTGATCAGGGTCATTTCAAGACGAATGACTGGAAACTGAAGACTGAACTGTTGCTGACTTGCAGTTACCTGATGAGTTTCCTGCGCAAGTCCCAGCCGTATACGCCTCCGTTGCCTTGGTAACGAGTACCAGACACCAGGTCGTAATTACCCTCCTTCTGCTTTCTGGCAAACAAGACAAAACAATCTTGTAACTAAAGGATGTGTACACAATTTCACTATCAACTGTCATTTGTGGCATAGTGATTAAATATCATTATGAAATACAGAGATTTTGTGTATGTGAACTGAAAAACCCCTCAAAATATAAAATCACAAGATAGGAAATGGAAATTTAGAAACACTTACTCAATAAATTCTGGGATAAATTTGGGCTGGAAAAAAAACATACAAAGAAAGATAAAATATCACTCATTGAAATTAGAGAATAATCAGATAAACTCACACCTCAGAATAAATACTACGTCTAGCGCAATTCAGGAGTCTTTCATAGAATCAGTTGTCAGAAAGAATGAATCCACAACTATTGTGATGATAATTAATTTTAAACACTAGTTCCAGCTTCTCAAATGTGAGGATTTGCTTCTTTGTATCACGAATATCTTTGGGTTTTAGACCAAAGGAGCTAATTTCAGACATGGAATTTAGGAAATGACGATTCTGAGACATTGTAGAGTAATCACCATTATATTGACCAAACGATGAATCAGGTAATTGAAAAAGTAACTGGCAGACTAAAAAAAATTAACTGTTGGACACAGCCCTAGCTTCACCTTCATGTGTGGCATGACCATCCTCTGTTATCATGCCAGAACAAGGCACACACACCCAGTGGGAGTGAATCTACTGTGTACACACAATGAAACAAGCTGCACTCACATGATGTGAAAGATCTGCATCCATTATGATGACGAAGTTCCCAGTTGCGTGCTTCATGCCATGGATGTAGGCAGTGCCTTTGAGAGGAAACAGGAGTTCATCAATAGTTGGCAAAGGTAATTTATTTAAATGAACACACTATTTTTAACACAGTTTTGAACTTACCTAGGCCTAATTTTTTCGCTCTTGGCCGTAGAAGCTGAAGCAAAGAACATAGAAAATTAGAGAGTGCATAAAAATCCTATGCACTATTTATTTATTAGAGCAACTTGTTACTAGAACATGGTAAACTGCTGTCAGTTATTGACTCTGCGTGACTCTGCAGCATTTTAATTAACTCTAATACAGACTTTTCACAGTTTAACAAAATGCATTATCTGGGTCTTCTCAAAGAAGAGCTGGGATTAACACTGATTCTTTACTTACTATCTTGTCCTCTCCATAAATTTTCTGCAACTGCTGTGCCACCTCCAGTGTGCCATCTGGGCTTCCGTCATCAATGACGATTACCTCGTAGTTATATCCGCTGTGAATAAAGCAAATTATTCTTCGGGTTGTGATTTGGTTAGGGATGACACACACAAGCGCACACGCAAACACACACACGCGCACAAACGAGCTTTGGCTTTACTATAGTTGTGAGGACACTAGTTGACATAATGCATCCTCTAGCCCCTTACCCTACCGTAACCTGAACAAGCTTAACTAAACGTTGTTGGGCCCAGACCCTAACCTAGTTCTGACGTTAAACCCTAAACCCAGTCTTGACCCTCAGACAGCCCCTTCACGTTGTGAGGACCAGCCACTGTGGGTTAGTGACAGCTCATCACTGACTTGGCAGCAGTAATGCTAGCTAACATTAGCACTAGCCGAGCAGCTCTGCCGGCTCCCCGGAACTCACCTTTCACCGAAATATTTCACCAAAAGCCAAACTATGAGAGGGAGGTTTTCCCTTTCGTTGTAGGTAGGTAATAATACAGAATATTTGTCCCCGCTGTCCCGGTTT